AGTGTGTTAGGGTCTGCTCTGTTGTTGTTTCCAGGAGTTTTCAGGTTTCCTGGTGTTATGTTCTTGGGCTGGTCATGGGGTGTTTCTGCTTACCTCCTGGCTGATGGATTTGTGTGTGTTTCACTTCTGCCCTTCCGTATATTTCATTTTCGCAGATCCTAAAATCAGCATACTTTATCCTCTGCCAAATTTTTCCTGAAATTTCTGCACACCAAAGATTTCCGTGCGCCACACTTCCCCGCACAATTTCCCTCAAATAACACTTGTGTGCCCGTTTTTCCCAGCAAAATCTTGCTTTCTACAGAAATCACATCTTTATGTGTCTTTTGCCGCGTAACAACAGTACAAAACGCATATTGTCACGGGGCTCTGTGTGTGTGTGTGTGTGTCCGCAGCAACTTATCCCCAACTTTCAGCTCGGGAACCACAAAAGCTAGGAAGCTGAAAATTTAGGGGCATGTTCCCCACCCACGTGCGATCTCACAAATTTAAATTCAGCCTTCCCGTATCTGCGGATAACACGTAAGGCCCTGTAAAAGTTTTGGCAGGAAAACTATTATCTCGGGAACCGCGGAATCTAGGAAGCTGAAATTTTGGGGGACTGTTCCTTGCCCACGTGCAGCTACTCATATTATGCGTTTTGTGTGCTGTGTAACAGCGTTACAAAACGCATATTGTCACGGGGTTGTCTGTGCGTGTGTGTGTTTGTCCCACACTTTGCCCCGCACTTTTAATTCGGGAACCACAAAAGCTAAGCGGCTGAAATTTTGGTATAGTGTTCCCCGCCAACGGGTGACGCGACAAATTTAAATTCAGCCTTCCCGTACCCGCGGGTAACTCGTACGGCCCCGTGAAAGTTTTATACGGGTAAGTCAATATCTCAGGAACCACGGAGTCTAGGAGGCTGGAATGTTAGGGTAATGACCCCCTGCCCACGCTCAACCTTGCCCATTCAAAATCAACGTTCTCGCCCTCTCGGGTATCACCTTCGGGCTAGTGAAAGTTTTTACGACTAAATTATTATCTGGGGAGCCACGGGGTCTAAGAAGCTGAAATTTTAGGGTAATAACTCACTGCCCACGCTCAACCTTGCCTATTCAAATTCATCGTTTCCTCGCTGTTGAGCATCACCTACGGTCTTGTGAGAATTTTGGCGGCTAAACTATTAACTAGGGAGTCACGGAAAGATATTCACCGTTCGAGGTTTCGAATTCAGCTTTCGTGCGCTGGTGCGTGAAATTTTTAACTATTTTCCAG